AAAAATATACAAAACTTAGTTTTCCACGATAATTTTATAGAAGAAGCTAATAAACTGCGTGATAAACTTGACTTAAGAAGCATATTAAAAGACTGTCAAAAATGTTTAATCACTCTAATCGAAGAACTTCTGAAACGATTACCTAGTAAATTAAATACTTTTAAAAAAGCTTTGATTTTGTCACCAGAAAAGTGTGTGAATCACAAGAGGGCGAGTTTCAGGGACCTGTCACTATTTGACTTTGAAGGAAAGAAAAGCAGCAGAAACTGAATATTTAAATCTTTTAACTTTGCCATCGAATAACTTTTCTCAGAACAATTCCATCCGACTCTGAAGAATTTTGGATAATTGCTTACGGAGTGAAAACCGCAACAGGCAATAAAATGTTTGGAAATATAAGTAAATTCATATTAAATATTATCCTTTTCGCACTCACATGCTTTGTTCAGCGCGTTTTTTGCGTAATGAATTCAACAAAAACTAAGATTCGAAATAGGACGAGGTTGGAAAGCCTTAATTGAATAGTTCGAATAAGGTGTTATATGAAGGCTAATAGTTTCTGCTGGAAATATATCACACAGTATGTTATCAAGGTTGAATAGCTCTATATGTGACAACAACAGAAATGTAGATGATATAGGTGATTTTGAAGAAATTGTGGAAATATGTAGCTGATCTCGCGTTATTATATTTTTAAAGAAAATTGTTTGTACATCACTATTATATAAGTGATTTGTGTTATCTATTATTACCCTCTGAAGGTATTATATTCCTTTTTGGTTTTAAAAACTACATTATAAATAGATCTAATTTTTTTTTAAATAAGAGATTTGTTAAATCGATTTCATTAATTTTATTTAATGATAAATTGGCGATTTTTGGCGATTTTTTCACAAATTGCGGTTTTTTTTAACAATCTGGACATCCTGGCCACTAACGCCCCACAAATCCAACTGATTTGTTCGTGTTCGATGTTATTTTTCTCGTTAGTTGCGTAATGCGCCAAAGTGAGCCACAGTGATGTTGCTGTAAGCCAACTCAGCCAATCGTGCTACTGGATGAGCACGCCTGCTTTAAACAATTTCTGAGTGCTCAGATTTTATAAGTCTAAATTAAGTCTTCCTTACGTTGTAAATATGATTCTGAGACCAGTCAACCAGACTGACTCATTTCGGACTCTTTTGGTGTCATAAATTTGGAGTTGGACAAAAGTAACAAAAAAAAAAGTAAAGTAATAATCAGAATTATAAAGAATATTTGTTTTTAAGACTCCGAAAAGCGCTATATTTCAGACTCTACTATGACCTCCAACTTGGACTCGTATTGGCGGGCCCTTCTAAGAAGGGAAATATGCTCTTTTCTGACTCTTTTTTTTTGGGCCATGATGAGGTTACACCTCAGAATTCCGAGACCTTTTATTGACTCTAAAATAAGTCTGAATATGTATAGGGAAGGACTGAATTGTTTTTTCGAACCTTATTTACATACATATGTATATATCTTTACACATTTTCTGAATTTATCTACATATACTTTTAATAGACTCCTATATACATACATATGTATAAAAAATATGCCAAATATAAAACAAAAAATATTTTATTTTTAATATTTTTATTGAGCTTTGTACCAAGATTGTTTATTAGGAAAAATTGAAAAAGCAACAAAGTCTAAGCGGTAGAAGTTATAGCAGCTATTTCGGAGATCACCACATTGACAAAAAAAAATATTTTAATAAATGTTGATCTTTGCAACTTTATCAGAGAGAAACCCCACAAAAAATATTAAGCATTTATAAATCGCTGGATACCAAAGAGTCGTGCATACAAATTGGGCTTATTTTATACATACATGCATACGTACACCTAAACTTATGTATATTTTCCCCATATGGGGCAGGCCGCACCACAAAATTTCGTTGCATACTTGCTCTACCAATACTGACATTTGACATTAAACGCACATACATATTCAAACTTACATATGAATATATATACAAACATATCTGCCAACCAAGTTAACCCTCATAATCCTAAATGTCATTAAATTTGGGTCAAACATGTGCATTACTAAAATAACAACAACAACAATACACATTATAAAATTGTGCTTGTCAATGTTTTATTTTGGTTACACTTAAATACCGTAATAAATGAATTTGTTACGCGCTCTTAAATGTAGTACAAGTCATTTGACGTAAATTTACAAGGAGAGAGGGTAAAGAAGTGTGGCAATATGTGTATCAGAGAGGGAGTATTTACGAATACATACTATGCCTGTCAAGCGGTTAATTTGATTTGACAACAGCGATGCAGTATGCCAACCAACATGTAAAGGGGAGTATGGTGGATGGGGAATGATTGTTAAATGGCCGTTAAATTGTTATAAATTGTTAAATTGTGTATGAAAAGTGAGCAAATCTGCTGGGATTTTATAAAAGAGGTTAGCGCGCAAGGGAAATTGCATAATTAAATGAGTGTAAACAAAATGACAACAAATTGAGGGAGGTGAAAATTGCGGAGGTTAGGAAGTTGAGGATGAATAAGTTCGGTAATAAAAAAGTAGTTAAAACACTGGGACATTTTTGAATCCGTTCATGTTAAGTGCAACCAAATGTTTCAGTTTTTAATTTGATTAATTTTGTTTGGCAAAATAAGCATAATAAGAAAATACGGGTATTAAAAAAAAAAACTCTTAAAGTATACGTACCTATGTCTATTCTTTTCGAGATATTTCATAAACGATTTAGGGCTTTAGTTTCGTGCTTGCCCGGCGAAATTTTAAATCTGTTATGTACGGCTGGTGACGATTTGTCTGTATGAATCGTATGCATGTAAGTCTTTATTAATTTAGTAAAAAAATAAAATTACAAATGCATCGCCGCTAGTACTCAATTATCTGTTTGTTATCTGTTCTGCCAACATTTATGATTTGCCAGCCACAACAAAAACGTTTATTTATGCACATATGTATACATATAACGGGTGATTTTTTAAGAGCTTGATAACTTTTTTTTTAAAAAAAACGCATAAAATTTGCAAAATCTCATCGGTTCTTTATTTGAAACGTTAGATTGGTCCATGACATTTACTTTTTGAAGATAATTTCATTTAAATGTTGACCGCGGCTGCGTCTTAGGTGGTCCATTCGGAAAGTCCAATTTTGGGCAACTTTTTCGAGCATTTCGGCCGGAATAGCCCGAATTTCTTCGGAAATGTTGTCTTCCAAAGCTGGAATAGTTGCTGGCTTATTTCTGTAGACTTTAGACTTGACGTAGCCCCACAAAAAATAGTCTAAAGGCGTCAAATCGCATGATCTTGGTGGCCAACTTACCGGTCCATTTCTTGAGATGAATTGTTCTCCGAAGTTTTCCCTCAAAATGGCCATAGAATCGCGAGCTGTGTGGCATGTAGCGCCATCTTGTTGAAACCACATGTCAACCAAGTTCAGTTCTTCCATTTTTGGCAACAAAAAGTTTGTTAGCATCGAACGATAGCGATCGCCATTCACCGTAACGTTGCGTCCAACAGCATCTTTGAAAAAAATACGGTCCAATGATTCCACCAGCGTACAAACCACACCAAACAGTGCATTTTTCGGGATGCATGGGCAGTTCTTGAACGGCTTCTGGTTGCTCTTCACTCCAAATGCGGCAATTTTGCTTATTTACGAAGCCATTCAACCAGAAATGAGCCTCATCGCTGAACAAAATTTGTCGATAAAAAAGCGGATTTTCTGCCAACTTTTCTAGGGCCCATTCACTGAAAATTCGACGTTGTGGCAGATCGTTCGGCTTCAGTTCTTGCACGAGCTGTATTTTATACGGTTTTACACCAAGATCTTTGCGTAAAATCTTCCATGTGGTCGAATAACACAAACCCAATTGCTGCGAACGGCGACGAATCGACATTTCACGGTCTTCAGCAACACTCTCAGAAACAGACGCAATATTCTCTTCTGTACGCACTGTACGCATTCGTGTGGTTGGTTTAATGTCCAATAAAGTAAACTGAGTGCGAAACTTGGTCACAATCGCATTAATTGTTTGCTCACTTGGTCGATTATGTAGACCATAAATCGGACGTAAAGCGCGAAACACATTTCGAACCGAACACTGATTTTGGTAATAAAATTCAATGATTTGCAAGCGTTGCTCGTTAGTAAGTCTATTCATGATGAAATTTCAAAGCATACTGAGCATCTTTCTCTTTGACACCATGTCTGAAATCCCACGTGATCTGTCAAATACTAATGCATGAAAATCCTAACCTCAAAAAAATCACCCGTTATGTGTGTAGTTTCAAATATGTATGCGCTTACTTTTGTTCGAAAACTTTTTATCCGCTTAAACATACTTAAAAAGGCATAAATTAGTATTAAATTACATGCCACAGCTAAAGCTACATCAACAACAACAACAATTAAGTACAATACAGCAACACCAGTGGCAGACGTCATTAAAAGTCGAATGAGAAAATGTTGACAAAAGCAAAAGCCGCAAGTGGTGAATGAAGCAAACACAACATCTACATTAGCAGGAGTTAAATATGTACATACATATGTATGTACGTGCATACCTCCTCCCCCATCCCCCATCCGCAATGCTACGACACTAAGCCACCGTTGGCGCTTTTCGCGTGGAATCCCACCTGAGCATAGCATAGCGTTGAGTTGAAAAGTCAAAGTAAAAATGACAGCGTAAAAAACATTAACAAAAACAACATGCCGGCATAACCACATGTAGTGACAATAATAACAACAAGAACACCAAAAAAACAAATGAGCGAGAAATACCTACCAACAATCCATTGTGACTTTTGTCATATTTATTTCGTTAAGCTGGAAGTGTGAAACTTTTCGATTATTGTCGTCAAATGGTATTGATCTTCACGCGAGTCAGCGGGACAGCAAAGCGAAAGA